TTAACCGTGGAAATTAATACAAGGTCCACTTTGCACTGTGCATGTGTGCATAATGTGTGACCATACTTCCGACAGTTAAAACATTTTTAACTTCTTTTGATTAATTTTAACAGGCCTCCAGTTACCCTTTGTGCCATGCGGAGAGGTTTGATATATGTCAATTGTAAAATGTAAGGGTTCTTACAAGAAAGCATTACATAGGACTACCTGATTTTCGTATTGTTATTAATAAAGTATCTCCCACTTTGGCAAAATGGTCACAAACGTCTTCAGTATTTAAAATCTAGGAATTCTTTCACAGTTGCAATATTTTTTGTCTGGGAACGTTCCCTAATGTATAAATATGCTGTTTTCCGCGTTGTTTAATTGTTTTTTGTAAAATTACGAGATAGGGCTACAGATTAAAGGGTAGCATTTTTTCGTATTGTGATGTCAAAACGTTTCTGAACTCGTATTTCTGTGTAGGTCAATAAATGCTTCTGCATCTCTCAGAAGGTTTTAAACTTTAATTTATTCTCATCTATATTGTAACCTTAACTGACTGATGGAGGTTTCATTTTACTTTAATGTATTCATATTTTAAATAGCGTCCAAGTTTTGAGGTTCTCAGATATAATGCATCTTCAACCCATTACGTTCAGTGTTTTCGGATTTTTTTCTGTTTTCCATGAAGCAAAGCTCTAACACTGAATATGGATGTCCTCAAGGCCCTGAAGTGCTTATATTTACTGACGCAATTTTTGGCATCTATTCAGAATAAAAAACAGTTTCTTCTCAACGAGTTTCTCTCCGATGCGTGGAGCGGAAAAGACAGCCATGGGGAACGGTTACAGAACGGATGAGTTTCAGAAAGACCAAAGGCTGGTCGTATCAATGTATGCAAATCTGTTTTCCCGCGAGAATGGAGTAAAGAAAATTCCTTCCAAAGCAGTAATACTCTGCCATTTCTCTCACTTTTCTAAAGCTCTTTCCTCCCGTTAAAGTATATTGCAAGCGAATTTATTTCCTTTGGATGTGTTATGTTAGAGATTTATTTATCTGTGTAATATTTTACTGATTGTGTGTAAGTGTGCCAATTGTATATCTCTCTGCTGTGGCAATCATAATCGAAATACGGGTTCGTTGGAGCTGAGATGGAGAACAGGAACGAACACCTCAGAGGAGAAGATGAGCAGAACACGAATTTGAACTGATTAAACTAACTTTGCATTGGAAATATTCTGTCCATAAAGAAATCGGGAGACAACATTCAGTAAGTGGATGTAATGCCAGAAACAACAATTGTGACCTGGGTCGTATGGTTTCAGATTTTCTACAGAAGAATTTAAACATCGGAATAAAGTAATCAGTGTAATATAAAGGTGGTATCAGTACAGAATGAAACTAGTAAAAATTGTGAAATAAAATAATAAAGAAATCCATTCACTAGCTAAGCATCAATAGATTAAGGAACCTAGACAAATTTAAGTGTGTTTCTTAAAATGAATATATGAGTTTCAGCTTGTAACAATTAGGAAATAAATAGATTGCGTGTGTGCATGTATTTATACATGTCATTATTCTTAGAGGAAAATCAGTTAAACTGACGTCAAAGCATTTGTAAGAAAACTTAACCCCACTCCTCTAGAGGACACTGATTAATACAAAACTGGACAAAGGATTTTAGGAACTCGTGACCTTTTTTGGGCGTAAAGTGTCTTCTCGATCCAAGGATATTTTCGTAACTTCAAGGGTTAACGTCTTACGACAAATTTAATTAGTAATTTTTATTAAGCATTTCTAGTTTAATAGCAGAAGGTTTGTAACATAAGGACTACTGCTTTATAGGATAATTTACTGGATCTAGTCCTGCAGAAATGCTTATAGCATATTGTTTAAGTAAATGTGTGAATAATACTATAAGAAGCAGTTATGTGATTTGGTGAGGGAAGTTGAGGTTAATAAAAACAAATCAAAATAACACACCGGTTAGATAAATAGAAAAATAACTATATTCATATTCTGTAGAGAAAACATTTAAATTAAGAGCCATAAATCTTTGAAGTATTACATTCCGATTAAGGAAAGGGTTTTGTAGGGAATCTTACGTTAGTTTAGGTGCGAGCAGTCAAATATATTTAAAATTGTAATAAAAAAAATGAAGCAAAATTTTACACTCCGAGACCTCATTATTTATTGTACCAATACATTGATTGCATCATACAAAATAATATAGCATTTGACATCTTATTTAAGTAAACTTTCATCATTTTCCGTGACAAAATATTTTCTTTAACCAACCTTGCGTCAATAACGAACATTTTAACTCTAAATTTTGATATCTGAAAGCTGAACTGAACTGAATAGCAGTTATAGTATCATATAAACTACTTCCTACATACTGGAAATTTGGACGTACTTGGTAGATTAAATACGTAATTACAACGTGAATATGTCGAGCTTGAATTGCAGCTTTGTTGACGAACATTCGCTTATATAATCTAGAACAGTATCATCTAGCAAACACTGAACTGTGCAAACGTTTAGTATTTGTCGACAGACAAACTCTGTATTTTGAAATCTGTCCAGTAACGAATCGTTTGTACTAATGCTCATTGAGAGGTAACTATCAATAATCAAGATAACAGCAGCAGCCATGTAATTGGTCCGTCATATGTAAATGTGTTTGAAGCAACAGGCAGCCAACGTACGTGATATGACATCGTGTTTTAACAAGTATTAGTGGTTGCTCTGAAAGGAGTGTTCAGCGTTTACGACATTTAGAAAACCTTTAATTTTTTAAACTAATATTGAAACAATAAGGGTCACTTTCTTAATTCGTGAAACGTCTTGAATCCAGGGAGTTTTAAAACGTTGATTTGTACGATATAAATACACAGATTGTCTTTTATCTGTGCATCATCTCTTCCTGTGGGAAAACACTTTAAGAAGCTTAAGAGAAAAACGTAAAATAGTTGACAATTCCCGTATGTTGTGATGATTTTGTATTGAATCCTTACTCACCCATAAAACATTTTGAAGTAATTAGCTGAGCGATGAGTGCATCTTGATTGTCCACATTCTGTGGCTCTCAGCGTAGTGGATGTGAATATATATTAAAGCTTTTCTGAGTAAAAATCAATACAAATAAATAAATAAATAAATATATATATACCTCAGAAATAAAGGCAAAATAAAGCGTTATGCGTGAAAGCACAACTAATGGAATCGCTCAATTAATCGTATAGCTCTGCTGTTTACACTGTACATCACTGATCAATTTAGATGGGTATCTGTCGAACGACAGAACAAATAGTAGTAGTGTGTCAACTGCGTTCAGAATTTATTTTAACGGAAGTAAGGGAATGTTGAAGCCCCTTGTTGACGGAAAGCCGCACCGTAAATATTCGTTAAAAAGCAAAGAGATAAGCTTTAATGTTGAACTATAGACTACACGTACTTGTGATATGCGTTTGCTCAATGAGAAACAAAACTGGAATTTTTAACTTAATGCAAAGTATACATCAGTCCTGTTGCATTTTTTGTTTGCTTCGCGCTGGAAATAAGAAGAAAGTTAAGCGATAGAAGTCCATTAAAGCAATTTACTTATAGAATTTTCGTGCCTTAGAGAACTCATACAAAATTCAATAATCGATTAGCAGTGGAGGAAATGAATCTTGTATAACGGAAATAAAAGAAGTCGTAAAGAGAAGGAGGCTTTGGAGAGAACTTTCGACCGTAGTCTGCTTTAAATTATTCCAGAAGTATACAGAGACTAGCTGAAATTATAAATTAACAATTAAGCCTAAGAAAATCACCGAGTTTTAATTCGCACTTGTTGGTACTTCTAACATTTGTATCAGCGTCTTCTTTGTATTTTTAATATAGATATTCGAGATAGAATTTTTGTTTATGATATATCACCAACTTCAGTGGTTACGTAGAAATCGTTGTCAAACTGAAAAGTCGGTACGCTTATAAATTTTGAGAGGCTGCGATGTTGTACCCTCTACAAACAAAGCGAACTTAAGAAAAATAGGGTATTCTTCGGGGATCTACCGCATCACAAAATGTAGAGGTTTTACGGTAAATGGTATTTTCGTTCCGTGCTTAAGAACTCGGAAGACCGCGATGTTATTAGTTCGTAAGGGTTCAGGTTGGGTGTAGGCTTACTGAGAGGAATTTAAAATCAAAATATTCACATATTTGTAAGTAGTTATAGCCACAAAACAGGTTAAGCAATTTAATGTAATTAAATTCATATCGGATCTTTATCGGAAGGATTTGTGTAAAGGGATTATGAGAATATTTTGAAAATAATAAAGACCAATTTAGAAGCACTGTGTGTAATTTTTATATCTCTATAGTTAATCGTTCTCTGTGAATACGTGAAGGATAGTTACAGCATATTTTAACTTTTTTATTAGTTCAATCATTCATTGGACATTCGAAATCTTCCAAATTAGATGGCATATTATTTGCAGTAATTCTATTTTATTCACTGTCAGTTTCTACATGTTACATGGAATTAATGTATAGATTCATGTGTGGTTAATTTGACGTCTAAGCTTTATTGTGTAATCTACGTAATAATAAATTTATCGTGTAATATAATACTTTCAAGAAGACTTGTTCAGTTTGGTCATCTTATTACGTTAAATGTGTCAAACGTTCTTCGATGTGTTGCGTACCGGCTGCTTTCCCTTGAATTTGCTACGAGATATAAAATACCGCTTCACGGACACTGGACTCGCCGAGACAGAGTCTACGGGACTGCTTAATTGACCCATCTGACCTCCCAGTACTCACATTTAACACTTCTCACAAGTTGTACAAACACTTCATGTGCAGCTGTTGTACTGTACTCACAGTTCGGCTGGTAACATTGATGTTGGCTACGTGAGGGCACGGATTTACTGAACAAAACAATTAAAGGTTTTATTGCGTCGGCATTGAAGTTTGCCACCCGTGATGTAAGAGGGGAGGCGCGTCTAAAACTGTTGTTCCCTTGTGTCTTTCAGGATTGCCGCAACGCGATTTGTCCGGTCTTGTGGGAGAGAACATCTTTCTTCCATGTGATGTGGATACGGAGAAATGTGGCGACCTACATAGCATCAAATGGTATCGTGGATCTTCTCGGATCTTTGTCTTCAGCGAGACGGCCGGCATAGCTCGACCTGAGGCAGATTACACGGAACGGTGAGTACAGAGTGTTCTACACGCTGTGCACAGTGGTTTATTTGTACCCTATCTCACCAAATTACAAGGTAGAAAGTATGTAGTTTTCGAATGCAAATGCAATTGAACTCATTCGTTATTCAACATCTTTTAATGGTGCTATTAGTTAGTTTCGGAACAATAAACGCCCGACTGAAAGAAAAAGGAAGATGTTGGAACGCATGATTGGGACATCCATGTAAGCGTTTTCCATGGGATCTGTGTGAGAACAGCGAACATTTTGAATTAGCCTACAACTTCGACGCATGATTATAAGAAGCAAACATTTTTTTTATTTATTGTCCCATGACTTTATATTCTTTTCGTGGTTCGTTGTACGAAATGTCAGTCATTGGCCTCCACATTAGTTCTCTTTTGTCCCGGAATTGAAGTTCGGCTGTTTCGCCTGTCGTCCTTTGTTTTCTAATCGAGTTGTTACGGCTACCAAAATAACACGGTGATTATAACATTGATTTTTCAGAGCAAATTATTATGTTTTTCAGTGCTGAATGTAATCATTGTACCAGTGTTATGTTTGACGGGGCCTGTTGTATGATGTAGGTTATATCTGATGGACACAACCAATGAATTGGCTTTGCGACAGTCTTCAGGTGTAAAACGTTGTGTATATGTTAGATATATCTTATGGTATATCAACCACTGCCACAAACATTCAATCATTATATCATCAGATTTTGAATTGCCTCTAATATCAGTCAGAGAGTACATAAATCATAATGGCTAAACTTTTCTATTTTAAAAAAAGAAAAAAAGAAATAGAACGATGAAACCAAAAGGATATGCCAGTATACTCTTTTACTGTGTATAATATACAGAAGCTGTCCATTGGCCGGGCCCCTATTTACTGTGCAAACAGTCATGCAGGAAGATTATCCGTCCATTGAACCAGCTGCAGACAACGTCAGTGCCGGGTGGATCATTTATCCATTCCAACGAAGTTGGTATATGTGACGTATTTTCCTGGACCGTGAAATCCTTCGGATTTTGTCCTGTGTCGCAGACAGCTTAGCGTTTATACCCTGTTATTTAGTGGTGATTCCAACTGTTGGTTGAGGGCGGGAAATGATCTCTGTGTTTGCGCATGTGGTTGGGGTAACAGTTGGATTTTATTTGTGTTGTTGCGTAGGGATTAGCTTGAACGTATTGGAAAGCTATCACCGAATGTGCGTTTGCTGTACGCGTAGATTCATCCTGTCTGTTGCATTACAGAGGCCTGTATATATAAAATATATAGCAACCGCGATAGGTCTTTTTTTCGTTGTATTATGTATTGTATTTCTGCTATGGAGGTGCCTGTCGAGAATGACAAACTTTTACTTAAAAGACGCATTTTTATTGACAAGTGCAACAAAACGGCATACAAGAATTAAAATAATTAATTACCTTTGCTTAATTAATGGATATAATACGATTTAGCATAGTTCGGGCTTTAATACGATCTTGTTGCAATGGCTGTACTGCGCTGTGCTATAAACGTACATGTACACAGTGGACCATGGATAAATAATCAGTCAAACATTATCTTATAAGGACTAAAATCTTTAACAACAAATTGTAACCAACCAAGCTATAACACTTGCTTATTGTACAGATATAATGCACTAACAAACTATTGTAAATCCATACTACACCCTCACACTTTGTTCTTTAAGATCATTTTTAATATTACCTTTCCATTTACACCTAGGTTTACCAAGCTGTCTTTGGTATCGACTCTTCAGGATTTAGGCGAAAATCTTTTAAGCAATGTATCGTTATTCAAACGCCCTTAATCTGTTCCCCTTTTTAGTATTCGGTGACGGGTGAAAACACGAAGCCCCTGATTATGGTTTTTCCTCTTCTCCTGTTAGTTCGTCTCTCTTAGGTCCAAAAATTGTATTCAGGTCCCTGTTCTCAAACGCCCTCAGTCTATAGTCGATGTTAATTTGTTGAACTCCTTTCACGGTTTATATGAAACGAGAAATTTCCGCCAAAACACTCATATTTATTCAGTTGTTGGACTTCTTGCATTACACAGTTTTGTCACAACTTACGTAAGCACAATTTACTATTTGGATTACACAGTTTTGTCACAACTTACGTACGCACAATTTAATACTTGACAAGAGTGGATTTCTCTTATTTGGATCATTTTACCAGAGCGAGACGGTATAACAGGAAGCTGGATAAATGTGCATCCTAATAAGCCTCATAATTTGTACTTTTAACCGAACATTACTAGGGTGACCGAATCAAGGACGATGAGTAGGGCATGTAGCGCGCATGAGGGAAACGGCAATTGCGTATAATGTTGCTTGTAAAATTTGAAAGAGGCCACTCGGAATACCTGGGAGTGGTGGGAGGATGATATTAAAATGGACGTTAATGAGCCTTCGTGTCCCACAAAAAGTGGGATATGTTTTTGTCTAGCTGAGCTTCTCGAAAGGAATGTGCTCCGTGGAGTTCATTAGTTAAATGTCCAATGAAATACAGAACATCTCCGAAATTTTTGTTATGTTTGTACTTGTCCCATTCAAAATGATTGAAATGGGATTAATGGTACCAGTGGAAAATACATTACACCTCTTCTTACTTGGAGTACTCTTAAATTAATTGCACATGCAGCGAGTTTTTTTTTTGTGATTTACATTCAGTTAATTTAAGAGTACTGGTTTAACAGGAGTAATTATGCATTCCTTCGCAATGGACAACATTCGCTGTCAGTCTTTTTTTCCCTTTATACAGCATTTCCGCTCAAAATAGAGCAGCTAGTTTCACAAATTAATCACCAACGCAAATAGTTTTGGGAAAACTCATAAGCTTACTTTTCTATTCCTCAGACTATTTTTGCGTTATATTTAGATAATGTAATAATGTGCATTAATATTTGTAATAAATTCATCGTTATCTCGTGGGTTGGTGTACTGAGCTTTTGTGTAGATGGTCATGGGACTGCATCCCCACTCTTTGTGAATTATTTTATTGATTGTGTTTGAAATTATGTCATAGATCATTATTACACTTTTATTACAGTTATTGTTACGTTGTTGTAAATTTATATCCATAATTTTCTATTTGGCTGTTAATGAAAAACTAAGATAAAGCTTAAAATTTAATTATTATTGTCATTATTAGTGTCTCTTCCTGCAGGATTTTCGTCTTCTACGAAGGTAAAAATTCCGTGTACGTTAAAATTGAACAAGTTCTAACATTTTCACACTTATGCTGGGTTTTCTATTGCTGACTTATAAATAACACTAGTCTACCTTCATACATCACTTAATTTTCCAAGCTCACTGTTGAAATACGTAAAATACCTTTTATTTAGGTCAGATATAAATAAAACCCAAATTAAAGTTTTTGCACAGCCTCCATTTTATTCTAACAACATAAAAACATTCTTACCGAAAGTTACAAATTTTATAAGCTCTATTGTCATGCATTCAAGGATCATAATTTACGCGACAGTGCTGTAGTTCCCATCTGATAAGTCTGGGCATCTGCTGCGATGTTAGTCCTTACGTTCTTGGGTCGGCCTTTAATTACGTAACGTTTACAGACAGTTAGTTATTCGGATTCGAAAGTTGAAAGGGAATATAAAAACACACATAGGTAGGTGGGTGATATCATAAGTCTAAAAAATTTTTATCTACAAAAGATAAATACGTAGGCTAAAATTAATAGCACGCTCTTCAGAATATGGTTTCTTCTATCATTTGACAATTTCTTCGTCGCATAATACATTGTTAAAAGTGTATCGGGAATTCATTATTAAGTCTGTGTCAGTGTCTTCAAAAATGTTATGTATGGGTCTATATTTTTTCTTACAAGATTTATAACCCTTCGTAGTATTTACACATAATTTTGTACTAACACATATCTCCAGTATTTTTTTAAAACCGATGTCCATCGCTACCGACTGTGAGGGAATTATTAGTCACAAATTAGTTTTAAAACTCTAGGCGATGAAAAGTGTGGATGTTCCGCGTGGTTGGAAAGTTGCTTTGCATCCGTAGTCCTGAGTTTAAGAGCAGGCTAATGAGGATGGTTCACGAGTGGGCAAAAACGCTGAGCTTTTTTTATTAAAAAAATAGAAATATTGGTACTTTTAAAAAGTTTGTTCCTGACGAAAAAGTAAAAATGTCATCGTGTTAAAGTTTCAGGTGTTCGAAGGTTGACCAACGCCTTAGTTTTAATTCTTATGCAACAGAATTTTTCTACATAAATCTCGCTATTCTTCTTCTTCTGATTTGTTGAGTGAAGGGAAAGGAATTTAATTTGTTTTTCTTGGGATTTTTGTTCATAAAAGTCAAAGTGCACTATACAATGTGGCCCGCTTTTGATAAGGATCTTACAATGCTGCATTGATTAATCTCTTAATCATATACAATATAAAGAAAGAATTTTAAATTATATTTATTCATAGAAAGCTGTTAATGTTGTCGGCTTCGTTTCATTTCGATAGTTCTGTTTGTCACAGACCTTTAGAGAATTATTATTTAGTTACTTGTCATTTATTCGGTTAAAAATTAATAGGGTACTTTTGCATTTCGAAGCAGTGGAAAATTGCTACTGGTTTTAATGAGACGCAGTTATTTAATAATTTTAATGAGACGTAAATATTTAATAATTAATTCTCATTAAAATTAGTAGTTGTTAAGTGGAACCTTATTTGAATGAGTTTGAACTGTAGAGCTGTTCGTGTCGAAAGGAACAAAATAGACGAAGCCTGACGTATTGACTTATTTAATAATTTGTATATCTAGCCTATTTTAAGGCGTCCTTTCTTTTCTAACATTTTCTATTAGTCAATGACATTTAAATTTCGGAATGGAAACTTTTTCTTCATTCTTATACAATTTTTTAGCAGCCAGGAAACATAACAGAAATTTCTACATGCTCTTGTCCCCCACTCAGCCACGAAAAGACTTCTGTGTTTATAGGAACGTATAATGGAACAGAAAACTGACAGAAGAACAGCG